CGCTGGCATCTCCACCCAGCTGCTTCCGGTCAGGCGTAAAAGTGCGGAGACAAAAGATGACCTTGGCTTCTAGTAAAGAATAATAATACATTCCACAATCCTACTCCTGTCTATTCCTCCCTCCCATCAACTATACTAATGAAACAGCATAATGAAATAAGAGAAAGTGTGGCAAGCCAAAATTCTAAAAGGAATATAATTGCAGGCCTGACATACATACTGTCAACATTCCAAATAACATCCAAAATTAAATCAGAGTCCAAAGCAAAGTATTGCTCAAAGTTCCAATTTATGAAGAGGGTCATGTTGGCACATCTGTGAAAACCTGAAACTGAAAGCTTCCCGGATTTCCCCACCCAGTTGAAAGTTCATGATCTTGCCCCCACACCCACAAGCCCATCACATGGTCCAATCTTCCATTGCCATGCTGGCAGTTCCACCCATCCAGTTCTGGTCAGGTGCAGAGGTGCAAAGACAAAGGATGACCTTGGACTCTAGAAAGGAATTTTATTTTGACAACATCGCATTCCACTGTTTACTATTTCCCCCCTCCCAATTCCCTACTAATGAAACAGCATAGTAAAATAAGAGAGAGTGTGACAGGCCAAAGATCCAGAAAGGAATATGACTGCAGGCCTGACACATACATACACACACATATCCATACACATACCTGAATGTATATACGTATGTTTGTGTCCGTGTGTCTTATCCAAAACAGTAACACCTCCAAACCGCACAGTAATAGAATACGGCAGGATGCTTTCCATCCTCCCTCTATAGAAAGTGGTAAGGACAGTGGAAGGAAGATGTGCTCTTCTCATACGACATAGAAAATGCAGGCGCTGCTGTGCCCCTTTCCCCAGTGTCTCACTGTTGAGCAACCAAGCTAACCTGCACACCCAAAAGTTCGATACTACTAACCACCTCCACAGTTGAAGCTAGCAAGGAGTATGCACACAACTTGAGGAATTCATGCTATAAAATGCAAAGTAGCTGAGAAACCAACTTTCAGTGAAGTTGGGCAGGCTTTGGGAACAGAAAAGCACTTAGCAATATGGGGAATCCGACAGTGAATGTGGTTGCTGTTGTGGTGTGTTTTCCTACTTGAAATATATTGTCACTGTTCCAACAATTTAAACCAACTGGACTTTCTTGGTTTAAAAATGTCCTTATCCAAGAAGCTTCTTTAGTTCCACTCATCTGCGCCTTCAACCACCCTCTCTTCCTTATGAAAAAACTTGCTGCTTTGGCAATAAATGTATGTGTTTTGAATTGTTACCAAAATATTCCCTAACCAGTTTTTAATGTCTTCATTAGCCAGTGCGCCAGTTTGGTGAAGATCACACTTCCTCACATGCCAATCCAGTGAGTGAAAAAAGCTGATTTTATTGGCTAGAGTAATTGTTTGGGTTTAGTAGCAGGTGTGGGCTGGTTTTCTTATCTCAAGGTGAAAATACTCCATGTAATGTTTTGATTATAGGCTACGCTGACTTTACCTGCATTATCTCGCTTTTCCATCGCCTTTTTGATTTGTGGTTGCTGCTCGCAAATTGCCCCCCCTTTTTTAAAACGAAGACTTGTTGCAGGGTGGAGATTTACAAACGAACCTTTGGCTGTTTTGGGATCTGACCTTCATTATGCTGCCTTTATATTCTGTCAATGCCCTTGGCTAAAAGCCGGGTTAAAAATTAGAAGGCAAATGATTAAAGTGACTTTGGAAATGTTTATTTTGAAAAAAATAATAATAATAATCCCATGCATAACTTTTGGTTAGTTTGGGGCGGGGGGGGGAGAAGGGTCATCTTTCCAGGCAGTTCTCAAATTACAACCAGGGGTGGGATGGAAAAAATTGGGCAACCACTTCTCTGCCCGGTTGCTGGGTGGGTGTGGTGATGAAGGCATGACTTAGTTGGCTTCATGCACCGTAGGGGGTGGGGTATTTTGCCCTCCCGGGGCTCCGGAGCCTTTCCTCGAGCCTCCAGGAGGGCCAAAATGGCCTCCCCCAGGCTCCGAAGGCTGGAAACAGACTTGTTTTTTGTTACTTCTGTTACTTCCGGCAGTAGGCCCATTTTTCGCCCTCCCGGAGCCTAAACACAGGCCCTGCACATACCTGGCACGATGAACAGGCTGCGTGGCGACTCCCGGGGAGGGATGGAGGGAGGGGGGGGCAGTCAACCAGTCCTTGCAACTACCGGTTTGGCAAACCAGATTAAAATTAACATCTGGTAACATCCGGCTGAATCCCACCTCTGATTACAACCATTCATTTAGTGACGGTTTGAAGTTTACTACAGCGCTGACAAACCATTGCGGCATTTCCCCCTGATCAAAATTTGGGCGCTTGGCAACTGGCATGGGCTTATGACAGTTGCGTTGTCCCGGGTTCAAGTGATCGTCACCCTTTCCAACCTTCCCATTCAGCGTCTGACGAGCAAAGTCAGCGGGGGGGGGGAAACAAGATTCACTTAATGACCACATGTTTCCGTTACCAACTGCAGCGATTTGCTTAACAACTGTTGCCAGAAAGTGAAACACAATTCACTTAACAACTGCCTTGCTTAATAATTGTTAATTGGAGTTCAATTGTGGTCATTAAGTCAAGGACAATCTGTAATTGTTATCGTCAGCCCCACTGGAAAATATTTACAGGCAGATTAGAATTATACTTTATTGAGATTAGGTGTAATAATAAGGCATGTATCTTCCCTCCGTCTTATATTCCAGTAAGTCAGGAAGGAGCCGTTCTGAGCCCCTTCCAGTGGTGGGATTCAGCCGGTTCGCACCTATTCGGGAGAACCGGTTGTTAACTTTCTAAGCAGTTGGGAGAACCGGTTGTTGGACGAAATCTCCTTTTGTTTTTTTCCCCACTTTACAGGGCTAATCCTGTAAGGAAGGCAGGAAGGAAACATTCTGGTTTGTTGCCCTGCTTACAGAAACTGCCTCTCCAATTAACCCTAAGAGCCGAGGTGGCGTAGTGGTTAGAGTGCTGTACTGCAGGCCACTTCAGCTGACTGTTCAGTTCTGCAGTTCG